CCCCCCCCCCTTTCCGCCAGCTGTTGGGAACAAATAAGCGTATGTCAGAAGCTGAACGTGGAACATAAAACATGAGTGACGCGGGTGGGTAGTAGCATGTCACGTGGGAGGACAGCGCCCGGCGCTATAGCCTCGGGAACTCTCTTCTCATCGATCCTCTCCGACTCTCTGTCTGTCTCTTGCTGTGGTGTGTCCACTTCCGCGCTTCCGGCCGCTGTTGCATAATAGCGTCCACGTATCGTGGCATTTACTGATGTCAATGACAGTCCATCTCAGTAATTAATTGACTTTTTGTCTGCTGTCTAAAGCTTTGTGTGAATTATGACCACATGCGCCTCGTGTCCGTGTACCTTAATTGTCTTCGTGTCTCTCGTCTTTGTGGTGTCCATAAGCTTACAGGGAACTTCTGGCTTTGCGTGCGTTTTGCTTTCTTTCCTTAGACATTCTAGTAATTCAAATGGTAGACCTGAATTACAATGTCCCAGACTGCGGGTGGTAGGAGGTTGCTCTGGTGCGGTTTGCTCATGCTTGCCAATCAAACCTCTATCGTCCTCATCTCTCCTCCTTCATAGTTTTTTTGTTGGGGGGTTTTTATGTTTGTTTGTTTTTTTGTTTGGTTGGGGGTTTTTTGTTGGGTTTTTTTCGTGTAGCTTTTGTAATCTTCGGCATTTATATTTTTACCCAATTGTATTGCAAGTGCCGTTAAACTCGTACTAAAACAAACAAGAACAATATCATAGACCGTTACTTTCATGGCATGCCGCTCTCTACTTTTATTGAAAACGCAAAACGTGCGCACCACAGGCACCCAAGGTGGGTGGTTGGCGGGTGCTCTGGTGCGGTTTGCTTCTTCTTTCCTATCAATTATCTGTCGTCTTTTTCTCCCCTCCTTTTTGTGTTTGTTACTCTCTTGTAGCACCTCTAATCTTCGGCACTTATATGACCTTATTGTGTTGCAAGTGCCGTAAAACTCTTCCTAAAACAAAAACAGGCTCCCACATGAAGGGTATAACACCCGTCTCGATATACTCCCTTTTGACGATATCCTGCGTGGGAAGTAATTCTCTATTGAATTCTGTGCTGTCAACCCAAGGAAAAGAGCGGCCGGGTTGTTTTTAGTGTGCTTTGGCGACGTTTAGTCCGACGTTCTACTTCTTTCCAACATTCCCGACGTCTCGCTGTACCCCTGGGGGAAATGTGTCTGTCATTGTGCGGGTGGTTGGAGGGCGCTTCTGGAAGGTCTTGCTTCTTTACTTTCCCTCTGTTGTCTCTGTCTGTATTTCTGTCTTGCTCTTTTCCCAGCACTAAATGACCATTACTGTGTCGATGTGCTTCTCTTTACTCAGACAAACAAACAAACCGTTGCCTCGATGTACCCCAGGCTGAAATGTGTCTGTCATTGTATTGACTTGTAGACAACAGTGGGTGGTTGGAGGATAGGTCCTACTTTTTTTACTTTCCCTCTGTTGTTTCTATCTGTCTGTCTTGTTTTTCCTAGCGCTAAATGACCATTATTGTGTCGATGTGCTTCTATTTACTCGAACAAACTCACAGACTACAACTCAGTCACAGCAACGACAACAACAACGTCATCATTAATAACAACGACAACAACAACAACAATAGCAACAACACCAACGATGAGAGATGCCTTTGCCTTTCACTCCTAGGGTGAATCGTTTTACATTTCCATTGGTTTTTTCAAGTATTTTTCACCACTGCAGTACCAGTGTACGTGAGACTATTTAAATGTCATCTTTTTGGAAGAAAGTCACACTGTTGTATTTAAAGTTTTGCGGAACTGTCAACACATGTATGTTCCTGAAAAACCCTAGATGGGGCTTGTGTTCTATCTAAGTCCAAAGTTTCAGTTCCCTTTTGGTCTTAATGACCTTGCGGTACTGATATGCTACTTTCAAAAAAGAATTTGAACTGGGATCGCCCCATTTTTCACCATGCAACACACCACACCATACCCCTCCACCAACGCCAGCTTCATTAGAGTAAGCGTTGCCCTCCACCCACACCGTCTACGGTTGTGAGCCCAGCAGACTATATTATTTATGACCGCTGGACCAACAACTTTTTTAAATGTTTCACGCCTGCCCTGGTGATATTATATATGATATATGCAGTACTGTTTAGCTTTGTTTTCATTTCTTAGACAAATTCGACTGCCATTGTTACTAATTTTCTCATAGAAATTTTGTATATTATGTTCCATATCCAAACCTGTCCAGTAATTTCAAAATGCGATATCTATTTCTATGATACACGTTGAGTATTTTTTGTAGAAAATGGAAGTGCGCAGCATGAATGCAATTTATCATTATTATTATACTATGTATTTTATATATGCAATAATGTTTTGCTTTCTGCTTGTTTCTTGAACAGTTCGGCAAATCCCCGTTCGTGTACGGCCCCACCGTGAGTACCGCCAACGGCTCCGTGCCTCACGTGCACAGCAACGGGGCCATCCCGGAGTACCAGCATGGCGACTGGCCGCCGCCGCCCGCCGCAAAATGTGAGTCATGCGCGTGCGTGTGTGTGTATGTGTGTTTGTGTGTGTGTGTGTGTGTGTGTGTGTGTGTGTGTGTGTGTGTGTGTGAGTGTGCGTGTGTGTAAAGTGTATGGACCCCTTATCAATACCATTAGATTATTTAAAAGGTGGGACCTCGGAAATTAACGCCTGTCTCCAATAGGACCATTCCAGATCGGCTGAGAGTCTTGAAAATTCCACAATCCCGTCTGCAATTCGAACCCGGGCCATCGCTCGTTAGTCTAACCTGATACTAACTGAGCTAACGGAGCGCCCCAGTGTGTGTGTGTTTGTGGGTGCATGTGGGTGTGTATGGGGGGGGTCTCCTATCTTTCTGTGTGTGCTTGCTAGACTTTGTTACATTGTGCAAGTGAAGCTTCCGTTCAACATCCATGGGTGTTTCAGTTTAAAAAAAGAAACATCCTTAATATGTTCAGATATATTGTTTGTGTATTTCCTTTGAAGTTTGAAGTATATCAAGGAAATCAAGATCTGAAGGAATGGCGTCATTAGTCTAGTAGTTACGTTACTGGACCCGCAGTAGTGGGATTAAGGTTCTGGGGTTCGAGCCTCAGCTCTGTTCAACGCTGTGTCCATGGGAAAGGCACTTTACACGAATTTCCCATTTGGTTAGGCCCTTTCGAGAATGGACATTAAACTATGAGGTTCGCCCCTTAAATAACGTAATATCAATAGTGTTGATTGGGGCGTTGAACGTATACCATTTCATTTTCAAAATTTGAAAAGAGAGAAGTCGTACTTGGGCTATCTACTTCCTTTATTTCTTTCGTCCAGGCAAAGCTGGATAATGCATACTGCTAAGATCTCCTGTCATGACGCAAAGGGCCATTTCAGTGTTTAGGCCGTGCTCCAAGTTCTGGGCTTCTCTGGGTCTGACGTTAATTGAGCTGGACCCTTGGTCCGATAGAGAGCTGTACAGAAGACGACATAGTACTTACTACATAAAAGAGATAACTCCACCCCCTCACCAAAGGAATAATCCTATGAGGTGTGTCCTCTGTTTGGGGGACCAGAGACCGTAAATATTTATAGTCAGTGTGGGGAGACAGCGAACTATTTATATCCTCTTCCCCCTCCCTCCTTTACTCTGGTGTGGCCCGCGCTTGTTCAGCACACTTTGATGAGAACGCGTCCTTGGACGATGTTCTGTCCTCAGACATCACTGCGGAACCCGCAATATCTTTTAAGACTTTGGTTTTCAGCTTCCAAGTAGTCTGGGCTGTGTCTGGATTGTGTATCCCCTACTTTTTCGTAACTTCCTGTGGTTCCAGACAGAATAATCTCGTCTTTCAGGAAATGTTTCCAGTAACAGGCATTTTGGGTATTAATGAAGATTACAAAGTGTGCAAGTTCACGGACTTTATTCACGCTTTTTTTGTGGATCGCTGTGTGTACGTGATGGGAAACCACGCTGAATAATAAAATCATTAACGACGTTGTTCTATTGAATGTCAGTTAATTTATATCATTGAGGTGGTTGCAGAATCGAAAGGAAAGAAATAACGGGAATTGAGGGGGGGGGGGTCTTTTTCCTGTAAAATATGGTCTCAGCGACGTGAACGTTGCATTTTTATCCCTGATAATATGGACTGTTGTAATGCGTCTTCAAGTGACCTTTCAGTCTATGGAAAAGAATGTTAAAAAGAGTTAACATACGGCTGAATCATACCTTCTACAATCAAGTACTATATCCCCCCTCCCATTCCCCCTCCCCCAGTCCCAAGCATAATTATAGATGTTTTACTCCTCAATCATAATAGTTTAGATCATTTTGGAAGTATGCTGTTTCTGTCCTGTCTTGTGTTGCAAGTGCCGTAAAACTCTTCTTCTAAGCCTCGTCCTTCCACGGCAAGACGTAGTCCCCCATCAATGACCCCCACTCTGTTCTTTCGACTGTTCTTTATATCCAGATTGTTCCCGTCCTCTCTCTCTCTCTTCCCACCCTCTTCCTCGACGTCGTTTCCCAAATTCTTGGTCTCCATTCAGTGCATCTGTTATCATTGATTCTACTGATGTGACCATCCCATTTTTTTCAATTTTTATCGAAGTTTAAGTTTGGAGATATCTGCCGGTTCTGTTTTCTTTCGTATTTTTGTGTGCTTTTTGATCATATATCCGTATACTCTCTATTACTCTCCTGTACCACCACGAATCTTCGACACTTATAGTGTTTCAAGTGCCGTAAAACTGTTACTAAAACTGGAGGTTTTTATCCGTGGTGCAGCACTTGCTGGGGGGCCGGGGCCCGACATGAGGGGCGCCAGTCCGGCCCGGGACAGCCCAGCCCACAGCAACCGGAACAGCGCGGCCAGCAGTGACAGCGGCAGGGGCTTCAGCACAGGACACACTGACCCCAAGGTAGGTGGTGCTGGGGATGAGTGGGTGCTTGGAGGGAACACTGGTAGTGTCTCTTATGGCTAATGGCAGGTTCCTTGTGACCACTGGGTTGTTGGAAAGGACACCTGTAGTTCCCTGGACACCCTGGTGATGAGTGGGTGGCTGGAGGGAGTCACCGGAGGTGTCTCTTGTCATGATTGGATGGTTGGAGGGAGTCACTGGTTGTGATTAGTGTTTGTTGTGGTGAGTGGATGGTTGGATGGGGACACTGGTTGTTCACTGGCGATGAGTGGGTAGTTGGAGAGGGCACTGGTAGTGTTACCCCTAGGTTTCTCGTTGCCATGGAGTGGTTGGGGGAGGCACTGGTAGTGTTACCCGTAGATTTCTTGTTACCAGTGGATTGTTTGAGGGGGCACTGGTGGTGTCTCTTGTGATGAGTGAGTGGTTGGGGGGAGTCACTGGTTGTGCCCCTGATGAGTGGGTGCTTGAAAGGGGGTCACTGCTAATGTCTCTTATAATAAGTGGGTGGTTGGAGGGGGTCACTGGTTGTGATTCGTGTCTGTTGTGATCAATGGGTGGTTGGAGGGGGTCACTGGTAGTGCCCCTGAAGATGAGTGGGTGCTTAAAAGAGGGTCACTGCTAGTGTCTCTTTTGATGAGTTGGTGCTGGAGGGGATCACTGTTGGTGTCTCTTGTGATGAGAGAGTGGTTAGAGGGGGGTTAGTGGTTGTGATTAGTGTCTCTTATGATGAGTGGGTGCGTGGAGGGGGTACTGGTAGTTTTCTTGTGATCAATGGATAGTAAGAGGGAGCCACTGGTAGTAATCCCTCGTGACCAGTGGATTGTTGGAGGGGGTCACAGAGAGTAAATTATTCTTTTCTAGAACCTCTATTCTTCGACATTTATATAATAGTTGTAAATCGCACAGAATATGCTGTAGAGTGTGGATATGCTCTGTATAGATGCAATTGATATTATTTTTATCATTTTTATTATTATTATCATTATTATATTATTATTATTTTCATCATCATCATCATCATCATCAGTATTATTCTTATTATTCTAATTATGATTATTTTATTAATATTATTATTATGATTATTATATTACTATTATTTTCATCGTCATCATCATCATCATCATCATCATCATCAGTATTATTCCTATTATTCTTATTATGATTATTTTATTAATATTATTATTATGATTATTATATTACTATTATTTTCATCGTCATCGTCATCATCATCAGTATTATTCCTATTATTCTTATTCTTATTATGATTATTTTATTATTATATGGCCTGTTTCTGTATCATTATTATTGTCATCATTGTTATTATATATATATATGACCTATATGAATTGCAATTGCCATAAAACTGTGACTCTGTTACTAAAAGTTTGGTTTTTAAACCGTGTGGTGCAGCAGGTACACAGCTATGTCAACGTGCAGGTGAGCAACCAGCAGCACCGCCTGTCGGGCCAGAGCTACGAGTCGGGTGTGTCCTCGCGCCAGAGCTACCACAGCACCTCCAGCTCCAGCCTGGGCAGTCTGGACCGGCTCGAGGAGACCGGACACCCCGCCACCATCAACGTCGCACAGCTCTTTCAGGCGGGAGTGCCTGTATGTATATAGATATAGATACATAGATATATATATACGCATGTGTTGAGTGGATGTGAAAGAGTTAGAGAGAGAGAGAGAGAGAGAGGAAGGTAGAGAGAGAGAGAGAAAGATGATAGGGAGAATTCATTACGGGTGTGTGACGATATCTATGACATGCAGCTTTTTCAGGCGGGAGTGCCTGTATGTTAATATGCATGGTTTGAGTGGAAGAGAGATCAGACAGACAGACAGGCAGACATAATAAATTATTGATGTGTGTGACAATATCTATGATGTACAACTTTTTCAGGGGGAGTGCCAGTATGTATATATACACGTCTTGAGTGAATGAAAAATAGAGAAAGAGAGGGAGAGAGAGAGAGTGGATGAGGGAGAGAGTGAAATATACGTGTGTGATAACCTCTATGTCACACAGCTCTTTCAGGTCGGACAGCCTGAGTGTATACTTATCTAAACTTGGTTTGAGAGACTGGGGACGAGAGTGAGTGTGTGTGTGTATATGTGTGTTTGCCTTCACATCATCTGTGTGTGTGGGTGGTTGGCAGCTGCTCTGGTGTGGTTTGCTCCTTCTTTCCTATCAAACATCTGGCATCCTTATCTCTCCCCTTTCCTTTTTTGTATTTGTTACTCTCTTGTAATACCTCTACTCTTTGGCATTTATATGGCGTAACTATGTTGCAAGTGCTGTAAACACTCTTACTAAGACAAAGATCTGACCTTTGCCCTCATATTCTTATGCACAGTAGAATTGTAAATGGGCTGATTTATCAACGTCATGCTCATACTGTGCCGGAACAACATAGGGGGAACTGCTGCTTTTTCTTTCCTCGTCCTTACTATTGTCATTTTTCCTCTACTTCTTTTGTATGTTTGTCACTCTCTTGTGAACTGCTTTTTCGGGGGTGCCTTGATAGTCAATGCAGACTTTGTGCTGTTGAGGCTAGAGAGGTGAGCAGAGTAAGCCTGATTTCCCGTTTGGACTTCTCTGTTGACATCCACCCATTGGCGCTCATATGACCTTATCTAGTTGCGAGTGCCGTAAAATCTTACTAAAACAAACTTTTCCCTACCCTCCCTAGGACCATGAGGTACTCCGCGCCTGGCTGAGTGAGCTTCACTTCGAGGAGTACTATCCGCTCTTCATGCAAGCCGGCTACGACATGCCCACCATCTCACGCATGACTCCTGAAGTAAGCCCCACCCCGAGACTGATCTTGTTCCTTACTTTGTAGCACCATTTTGTTGGGTATTTTTAGGTCTTTGTTCTGATAATACAGTCAGGCACAGATAACACAAATACAGAAAACTAAAAATCATGGATAGCTCGCACAATTTGTCTTTCACCAATTGATATCTCTTTAACGTTTCGTTATTGGTTAACCTGAATTATGAATGTGTCAAACACATATGTCAATCCTCGACATGTAGGAGTTGTCTGTACCTGACTTTAGTTTGCACTGACCTTTCACAACAGATAAGGTTTGTGCTGAATCAATCTACATTATGTGGGTGGTTGGCAGGTGCTCTGGTATTGTTAGCTCCTTCTTTTCTATCAAACATGTATCATCTTTATCTCTTCTCCTTTTTTTGTGTGTTTGTTACTCTCTTGTAACTGTTCTAATTTTTGGCTCATATATGATCTTATTGTACGGAAAGTACTGTAAAATTCCTGTTAAAACTAAAAACATCTACATTTTATGTCTGATGGTTATGGTGCATGTGGCTAACATGGCCGATGTGTGCTTCCAGAAAACTATTTTGTGCATTGACAATGACATGTTTTCTATATTTTTCAGTTTCTTATTGAAATGGTTCGTTTTGATAGTTGTACGTCTGAAGTGTTCTTTTTGTTTTGTAAGCTCAAGAAAAGGGAAAGCTAATGTGCTTATGTTGTTTCTGTATCAATAAGAACGTGAACACATTACCTTTCCCTTTTCTCATCTGCATCCAGTTGTTTATAGTAGTGGGTTTAGCTATGACTTAACTTGATGAACTGTTTGCTCCATAGGATCTCACTGCCGTAGGCATTACCAAGCCTGCTCACAGGAAGAGGTTAAAGGCAGAAATAGCTCGTCTCAATATCCACGACGGCATCCCAGAGTACAAACCCGTATGTAATCAAGTGCCGCTTCACTATAAACAGACATTGTTCCTTCTTTCCTATCCAACATCTATCGCCCATATCTCTCCTCCTTCTTTTTGTGTTTGTTACTCTCTTGTAACACTTTTGATCTTCAGCACTTTTATGATCTGATTGTGTTTTAAGTGCCATTTTTAAAAACCCTTGCTAAAACAAAAAAACATTGTTTTATTATGCAAGTCATCTCTGTCGTCTTTCTCTTATCTCTCACTTCCACAGATATTCTACAGAAAAATGTTATCGCTCTCTAGGTTTATTATCATAAGATTATTATTATGCCTAAGTGTAACAACTGAAGAAAAAATATGTGCACAACCCTTTTTTTGTATTAAATGTCTTCTTTTTTTCTTGTAAGTCGATGTTTGAGCTCCCTGTGTAGTGAGCAAGATTTGAAGACAGCTTCCAAGAATAAGAAGATAATTTTTTGTGAAGTTCCTAATATATCAATTTTTCTATGTACTTTCTCCTGAAGAATATTTTGTTTTCATGGTTTGAAAGTAAGAACAGTTTTATAATATCTTTAATTCCAATCAAATGCACATGCTTTTCACGTTGATGTTTTAATGAGGTGTCAACTTTTTCTTCAAGAAATGAGCTAGAGCAATTCTTGAAATTATTTAATTTTAATATGGATCCAAACCTGATGTACGAAATGTTGTAAAACCTTTGCTAGTGGGTGGTTGGCGGGTGCTCGGGAGGGGTTTGCTCTTTCTTTCCTATCAAACATCTATTGTCCTTATCGCTCCTCCTTTTTTGTGTATGTTACTGTCATGTAACACCCTAATCTTCAGCGTTTAAATGACCTATTTGTGTTGCAAGTGCTGTATAACTTTGTTTTTTTTAAACTAGCTTAAAAAACAACAAAGCAAAACAAAACACAAGAAAACAACCTTTTCCGTTGTGTGTCCAGAATGACCTAATGGAGTGGCTGCACCTGCTAGGCCTTGGCGCCTACCTGGAGACTCTGTGTGGTCAGGGCTATGATGACATAAATTATGTCACTGACATCACCTGGGAGGACCTAGAAGAAATCGGCATTCAAAAATTAGGTAATGTGCCAACAACTTTCAGTGTTATGTTAGAGCGGCAGTTTTATATTGTTCAATATTGTTGCTATGTTTCCAGTTTCCTCTCATCCCTTTCCTTCCTTAATAATTATATACAGCTTTTTTGTTCAAAATGTTCTAAAACAAGCTGTCGAACCTGTTTAGGATGACCACCCATTGTCTAGGAGAAAAGTTGTCATCTTAGACAGATGGTAGTCGTTGAAAGTATCATTTTAATACAGAAAAACACAAGGAGGAAGTGGGAAGTATTCATTTGTGCAGGAGATTATCTTGGACAGGTGGTCGGTAGAGCAGGTTTGACTGTACCATTCGTTCACCTAGAACAAAAAAAACCAAACCAGAACGCAATGTTCATATCTTCTGATTTGGAAATGTATGTGTGTTAATTAATGTCACCTGTTGTGTTTGGCTTAATAATTAACTGGAACCTTTTGCCACTTCTGTGAGAATTTTGCTTTTTGTACCCAGTAACAAATTAGGTTCAGGTGATTAAAGGCCAGAAAGGTAGACAGGTGGAGGTCGTTCCAATCTGTTGCTGTTGCTGTTGCTGTTGCTGGGGCTGTAAGGAGGTTATCAGTTGTTTACCTAGCCTGTACGTACACATGAAGGACAGGGAAGGGTTACCTTTTTCTTTTAAACAGTTAAGTGCCGTGTTAACCCTTTAGAAGCAAGGTGAAGAATCTGCTTTGCTATGCAGTATCTAAACTCTGTACTGAATGTGTTTACTTTTTAGCTTACAGGAGAAAAAGTGTCTGAAAGAGTATAAGCTTGAAGTAGAAGGGTTAATAGATTTTCCAGTGGAAATATTTTAAAGCTTTAACATTCTCTGTAGGTGATGTCTTTGTGCACAGTCCTTTGTATGTTGACAGAAAAGACATGCTGTATTTAAAAAAGTACAAAAAGAAGAGATTGTTTAGTAAAAGAGAAGAGAAGAAAAGGCTTCCCCTTGATTGTAGCTACTGCTTATTAAAGAGGGAAAGAATGTATTTACTCTTGTTTTGTGTTGGTTTTGGTGGTACAAACTCCTTTTACCTTGTTCCCTTTGATTTCTGAGAGGGCAATTCTTTAAAGGGCTTAGACATCTTGTTAAACACATGACCAAAGATTTTAAAATTTACATTGGTACCAAAGTTTTAGTTGGAATGGAATTGGGCTGTCATCCCCATGGTATGGTAAACATCTTTATTTCCGTGAACCAAGTCTAGACATGGAAAGATCATTTGCCTTTTAAAAGGTTTCCTTTTAAGTGGGACCCGCTAATAAGGTCTGGGGGAGCTGGATTTAATTAAGGAGAGTCTGCTCATAATCTTGATACAGGTAGAGCTTTTAGGCAGTTGTGTGCAGGAACTCACCGGGAAGAGATCTTGTGTGAAATGTGTGAGATGTGAATTTGAAAAAAGATACACTACTTAGTCTGATAATTTTATGTTATATTTTGTTAGCGCTCCTTTTTTCTGCTTGTGTTTGTGGGTTTGTTTTATTTTTAATGGATTTTCTTGAAGCATATGACGCATGCTCTGTGTACACATGAATTTGTTGAAACAAAAATTGATTTGTTCCTTCATTTACCCTTTGTTCTAAAGAAGATAGCTTTGGTTATGTTTGTATAAAGTTATTTTACATTTCATAACAACTTGCAGAACTGATATCAGATGCAGAAATATACACCATGCTGCCTCTCACAGTGGAGACTGATTCATGGAGGCTCTGTGAATCTCAAAAGTATTAGAATCTTTTTAATCTGTTTGTCTATGAATATCGTTGTGTCTATTTGTCTTAACCTATCTCAATCTCATAATAGTAACTTCTTTCTAGACACTGGTTCATCTCTCTCCAACTCACTTCTCGAGCAAGTTGAGGTTAAAAAAATTATATTTAACAGGTGAGAAACGAAATATGAATTAGAGAAAAAAAGAAAATCTTGATGATTTGATCAAACTAGTTTATTGATTTTTTCCCATGGTTGATTTGGTACACAGTGTCCATGTATTACATTTACACTACACAGTCTCACATATGCCTCCTTTTAATATCAAAATTTTCTTTTTGCTTTCACAGGTCACCAGAAAAAAATTATGTTAGCCATTGATCGCTTGAAGAGGATTACGTCTGGTTCAAAACGCCTGTCGTCCATGGATGGGCGCACAGCATCATTGGAACTGTTGGAACCCCCACCGCCTGCACCACCCATGTCCAGTCGCTGGTCGGGGGAAATCACAGCCATCCCCCCACATGTGTACGACAACGCTCTCGGCGGGGCCAGGCCTAAAAAGTCTCCATCAGGGGACAGTATCAGCACAACCAGCAGTGGGAACAGTGGGAGTAGTGCGGGCAGTGGGGCGCACAGTGGAGGGGGAGGAGGTGGGGCTAGTGTGGGTGGGGAGATGAGAGTTATCCCCCTCCCCCGAGAGGATGCCGGACTGGCGGGAGCGATGCCCTATCGGCACAACTCAACGGGCGGAGGTTCTGGTGCTCAGCAGCCCGATGTGGTAGCTATACAGGTGAAGAGGAACTTGAGATCCAGCACGTCGGATGACAAGAGAGATGCTAATGGCCAGCCCCTGATGTATCAATCTTTTCAAGGGCCCACCAGACGTGCTTCAGAAACTGAGGTATTTATTGATGGGCCTATCTCAAAATCTCTAGAATCTGATGTTCCCACAAGTTTCGCTGCTGCCAGTGCTCAAGCTATTGATAAGAGAAAGCACGTCAATCGAATTATGAGCAAGTCAGAAAGTGAGAAACATGAGTGTGAACTCAACACAGACGGGAACAAAGCAGGGTCTGGTATTTACTTTGCTAAACAAAAGCAAGGGTCTACTTCAGGGTCTACTTCAGGGTCTACTTCAGGGTCTACTTCAGGGTCAGGAGGACTACGTGTTGAAACAAATGAACACATTTATGACACACCTCAGCTCTCTCCGTCTCAGAAGTCTCCTAAGCCTTCGGTCATGCCTAAGCCGTCAGGCGTTGCTTTTCCTGGGGCTGGACCCATAAATGTGAATACGTCGGCCGACTCTGGGATATCAAATCAACCAAAACCATCACCTCCAGGAGGGAAGGGAGGGAAGAAAATTCCCCCTCCCCCTCCCAAGAGGACTCATTCAATCCGCGAACCTGCCGGAGTCCAAGAGAACTTTGTCCCCGGTTCCCCGAACAAGACTGCAGCGACTTCAGCAACCATCACAGTGTCGGCCTCAGTCCACCCTCAGCCTCCGCCCAACACCAGCTCGGCCAAGCATCCCCCTCCTCCCGTCATGCAGAAGCCCCAAAAGCCTCAGTCTCCTGCTGTGGCCAATAAGATCCAGCCCCCGCCACCGCAGCAACAGCAGCAAAAGCAAGTGCACCAACAGCAAGTGCACCAACAGCAAGTGCACCAACAGCAAATGCACCAACAGCAAGTGCACCAACAGCAAATGCACCAACAACAAGTGCACCAACAGCAAATGCATCAACAGCTTCATTACCCACAACCACACCCACATAACCAACAAATTCCACACCTGAATCCTCCGGTGGCTCAAAAGCCGCAGTCTCCGAAACCAGTCCTGTCGCAGAAAATGGCTGGGGTCCACGCTCAGGCACAGGCGATTAAGCCAGCGGTCAGTGGGGGCCAGCAGTCTTCGATTCTAGTAAAACCAAAGCCACCCACTTCACAACAGCCATATTTACAACAGCATCAGCCAAAATCTCCACTTCCTTCAAAGTCTCCGATGGCCTCAGCAGTCCCAGCCCATGTGCCTAAACAGCCTGCCCCTCAGCAACACACATCTCAGCCCATGTCTCAACCCTCACAAGGACCGCCTGGCCCCCCACCAGCATTCAAGTCTCAGCCAGCCTTGTCTCAGCACACCCCGGCCGCTGCCCCATCTACACAGCCCAAGCCTCAGACACAGGCTTTCACTAGCTGTGTCAAGAGCCTTAGTGAGAAGTTTGGCAAGAACAGTGGCGAGGAAGAAGAGGACCAGTTTCCGGATAATGTATCCACAGACAGCGATGATTTCCCCCCTCCCCCACCGCCCATTGCAATGGATATCATCACACCAAAAATCCATAACTACGGCATCCCATCGCGAGACCGGGGGAAGCCCGACTTTGGCCTCCATCAAAGAGACTATGGGAAAGGGCGAGGAAGTCCGGTGGGTTCCAGAAACTTTGGTGCTCCTCCTGTGGGGCCAAACAGCCCCCACATGAAAGGCAACCCGCCACGAGCCGTGGGTCCTGCTGTGCTTCACGGAGTCCCGCCCACCTCTGGGCGACCTCCACTGCTGGACAAACAGTACAGCCACCCACCACAGCTGAGTGTACATAAACCTGGTGGAGTGGACAACGAACGCGCTCCGGACCCCGACGCCTTCGCTTCCATCAGTAACGACAAGAGAAGCGAGTCTACCACCAGCTTTGAGTCCAATGCTTCTTCATCGAGTGTTGACTCCAACACGCTCCCATTCGCTAATGAAAATGTTGGTACCATTAAGCAGCGTGCTGCAAACGTGAAAACTTCCATTGTCCAGTCGGTGGATATGGAAGATGGACAAAGAAATATTGACTTGAACGCAAACATTTTTGACAATGAATCTCAGAGGACTATGTCAAGCTATACAGACCCTTCATCATCATTGCAGTCATCATCACCTCATTCTCACCCGTCAAACCCTGCTGTGAGTGTCAAGCCTGGCTCGGCACAGAATCTCCCCTATTCCAGTAGTCCCCAGACCCAGCGTGCTCAACCACACAGCTCCTCCAGTTCAGGTAGGTTATTTACAAGTCCCTCCTTCTCTCCCTCTCCCTCTCTCTCCCCTCTCTCTCTCTCTCTCTCCCTCTCTCCCTCTCTGTCTCTCTCTCTCTCCCTCTCTCTCTCTCTCTATCTATCTATCTATGTATCTATCTCTATCTTTCTCTCTCTCAGAGCTCATACAAATATACTTTTTCAAAAGTAGTATAGCACTCTTGTTGAACATTTAACCAAATTAAGTGAAGCAGCTGTGAGTTTTTGCCCTCTGTATCGTCTCTCAGTGTGAGCTATGGTTCACTAGGATTTCAGGTTTTGTTTGTGCCAAGAGCAGCCTGATGTTTGTTGTGCTAGGCTCCTAAGTTCTGTGATATATGGCAGGAAAACTGCCGGCCATAATTGCTGCAGGTTGCATTTACTTTGTTGCAGTAAAAACTGTTGACAGGAATATTGCCTTCTGTATTGTGCAAACCTAGGTTTCACCTCCTCTCGCTGGTTTAAGCTGATAAAAGATAAAGGGAGAGAAAAAGACTTATAGACTGGCACCTTGATGACATAAACTTGACTTTGCCAGTAATGGTTCTGAAGAGTTTAGGGTCTTCTTTGTTTTGTAAAATAATAATGGTAGGAGACCATAAATTGTGAGATCTATGTCAAAACTACTGATACTGTATTGAATTAAACAACTTTTTTGTGCTGCTCAGTTTATTGAGTATTGTTTCTTTTTTATATAAATGTTGATAATAGAATGTATTCCTAGTCTGTTTATGTAGTGCATTTCGGATTACTGCTTTTGCTCTTTACAGTTGGTATCTAATATTTAAAAGCCATGACCTTCTGGGGTGGCTATCTGGGATACATTAGTGCTGTCCTCTATTGACCTTGTCGGTTATACTGTTCAAATTGTAATCTCCACCTGGATTCCTGATTTTGAAAAAAAAAATACTCGAGTCATTGTCTCGTTTGCTGTGTTCTTTGGCTTTTTCAAGTACCTTCGTTTTCCTGTCAAGTGCATTGAGTTTGAGCATATCATTATTGTAGGGCAGATACAGCTAAAATATAACATGTGAGGGGCCACTAACCCTAAATACAATAAATAAATAGGTTTAATGACCGTCTTAACTGTAAGATTTTTTAAGAAGTTAAACCTCTGAATTCAAGATCCATCTGCAACAGGACCTGTACCAAATAGGGGAGAAACTTGAAAACTGCACCAACATTCAAAATTCAAGTGCATCTTTTTAAGAAATTCAAACCAGGGCCACCCACACCATACGAAAAAAAAATAACAGCAATTTCAATTCCTCTGTAACAACCCACAAGTTGTTAAAAGAAATATAAATCACAAAAACTGATTTTCTTATTGTTTTTTCATGTAAAATAGAACTTTAATGATTTCAGTATTTGTTTTAACAGAAAATGTTTGGTAGCTCTGCTCTTTCTATTTCTTCCTACTGTTTCTATGATCCTAATTTGTTCCTGGCATGATATGGTCATTACTATACTGACTCAGTGTAAACTGTGACTGAGCATGTTACATTTTCAGCTATGCCCAATCTCAAATTTGCGGGTGGTTGGAGGGCGCCACTGGACTGGTCTTACTTCTTTTCTTCCACCCTGTTGTTTCTGTCTATCTGTCTAACTTCTTCCCTGCCTCACTGTATGACCATTATTGTGTTTGTTTTTCTACTTTTCGCTCAAACTCAAACTTGAATTTCAACACACACCCCATATCATTCCAGGTGCAATACGCCCTCCAGTGCCAAACAAGCCCAGCCTGAGCCCCAAGCCCTCACGACCAAAGGCACCCGTTGCACAGACTCAGAGCCAGGCACAGCATCCAGCTCCCCCTGTACAGCCGGCTGCTCCTGTGCAACAGCCACATGCACAAACAGCACCAGTGCAGCCCTCACAGCCAGCGCAGACCACTGGAGAAAAGTACGCCTGGCTTCTATCCGACTCTCTCATAGTCTGTCTTTCACACAATTACACTCAGGCACGGATAACTCAAACACATCGCAGATTGACAAATATGTTTGACACATCCATAATTTGGGTTAAAAGTTAACGAAAAATTAGAGAGATATCAATTGGGGAATGGCCAATTGTACACGAGCTATCTGTGGTTTCAAGTTTTTGTGTTCATATTAACTTTGCCCGACTTTGTAAGACTTATAAAAATAAGATATTTATATTTCAGATGCCTGTTTTGTCACAATGAGACCAAATTTAGATAATGATAAGGATTCCCTTCGGTAACATTGTTTGTAGTTTCCTCATGTAAATGTCAGGCATCCGTGGTGAAATCTGGCGCTGGTCTAAATAATGAACCTGAAGAAAACAACATTTTACCTCCTGTTTGGCGGTTTTTATCGACCTTTTGGTATTTGGCTTTGTGGCTATTTAAAAACACAATTGCGAGTGGATATTACTGAAAAGGGTTGATTACGGGCACGAAAATTATAAATTTTCTCCTATGGACTATCAAGCTTTAGAAGTCATACTCATGGGACTGTAAAATATGCCAACATTATGTCAAAGGAGTGTAGTTTCACAATGCTGATCAATTTTTCTACCCTGCCGTTGTTCTTCCCTTTTTATCTTGGTTTTGGTCTTTCTTTGTATTTAGGTCTCATTGTTGTGTCATACTGCTTCTCTTCTCTTCAGACAAGTGAAATAATATGAACAATTTGGGTTGACTTGCTTTTTATGGATTGAAGGACAGTCTTCATGTAGGTCCTTCTTTTTTCCTTGGCGTATATTTCTTCCATCTTCCATCTACCAAGTTTTAACTGTACTTTATTGTGTCAATGTGTCTGTACTTCTCTTTTACTCAAAAGATTGATATTTTTTTTTTTGTCTTGCAGTAAAAAGGCTCCGGAGACAGGCAATGTCTTGTGCGACATCGACAATATGCTGCAAGATCTGACGGATGAACTGGACGCTATGCTGGAGGAGGAAATGGCCAGCTGATGAGAACGAAGCTAATGTACTTTGATAAATGGGACAAACCTTTGCTTTCATTTCGTAAGGGTGAAACTTTCAAAGATGTTTCTGGACATACCGTAATTATGGATGCTCTGAATAGTAATGCCCCTTGCATGACAGGTTTTTTTTCATGACAAGATGTTGAGTTAAACATTTTATTAGATGCCATCCAAAATGTTCCGGAGTTCGTGTTAAGTTCAGAGGGCACCCTTAAATGTAGATAAATGAGAGCCCCTTGTTAATTATATTACTGGAGTGGGTTTTATGCTGCTGTATAGTCAGATGACCCAACTTGACTGTTCAGTGTGTATGTGATTGCCAGTATGTACATCAGTGTTGCATGTACAGTGTTTTTTAATCTTTACATCCAGCTTATGGGTGATGTCTGTCTCGTCCTTGAGGACAGCAGAAAAAGCTGCATTATTGCTTGCATGACTGTAGCTTGAGCAGCTAGGGAGCTGAAGACACTCACTGGAATATTGAAGAAGAAAATGAAGACTTTTGTTACTTCATGATGGTTGAGAGGGAGTGTCTTTGAAGGTTTAGCTTGATGAATGTCTCGTGCAGTGCTTGCTGTCGGTTGTTTCATCAAACATCAGAGGATGTAGGATTTTGTTATCCTGATGAAATTCATACTTTTAAAACTTAAGGTGAGTTCTTTAGCTCGGATAAAGATAGGAATTCGTAAATTAAAGAATAGCTTGCTGGATAAAAACTGGTAACTTTTGAATTAATCATATTGAGTGTCTTGCAGATACTCAATTATTTTAACAGTGTACAAATATATAAGATGGTCCCACAGTAGGGTAAGCAAACATTTTTACAGTAAAAGTTGTTGTCGTTCGAGGTTTTATTATTCAGCCCATACTTTTTTAACAGACCGCAGAAAAGGGAAACTTAATACTTGACTAGTGCATGGTGTGACCCATTGAGGTGATGCAGAAGCGTCTGTCAGCAAGGACCTGACATCTTTGCTGATGATAGAACAAATCGTTCCCAGTTGAAGTGTTAGTTACTCCTCAAAAACACAGCTTTTCTGAGAAAAGCGTATATGTATAACCCTTAATTCAAAAAGCAAAATGGTGCGAATAACAATTCATCTAAAGGCTTAGATCTATTTTCACCATGTTATGCTGTGATTTTTATTTAATTGTAGGTAGTTTTCAAAAGCTGTCGATTCACATGTGTGCACAGATTTTTCAGGGGATTTTCGAATTGATTGAAACAGCTTTTCTCCGAGTTTCTATATCGGAAATATTTGGTGTAGATCTACTCTCATTCAGTGCTTTTGCTTGGAGCTTCAGAGGAAAATGAAAAAAAAAAAGCTGTCGATGCTATCTATGGCGAATGATTGCTACAGGTCACTCCATTTGAAACAGATAATAACAAGTCTGATTTTATTTAGATGATGCCCTTCTTCAAGTACCACTATGATGACATGTAAAAATGTTCATGTTGATTTAACTTGTTATGTAGTATTTTCTTTCAGTGCTGAACTGTTTCATCAAAATTCTTGAGTTTGTGATTATATTGTTTTACGTGTAACTGAATTACCATTTTTTTTGCATACATCGTATCTGTACTTCATTCACAGAATACTTACATAGATGTCTCTTGTTTGGCTATCTCCACGCTTGTTTTTGTTGTGAATCTTTTGTACATAGCACTGTATTCATTATGCACAACATTTGCCAAAGTGATTTAATTCTTGTGATTCAATTATTCATAATCAAACATCACATATTGCTTGCAGTGAATTCTGCAGATATCATTGATATGTTACTCATCAGTCGTCATAGATTTTGCTTTATTTATTCCTCTCATCTTCTCATATCAGTGCAATCTTGGTCATAATGCCACTGCAATGTCACAGCAAGCAATCACACCTGTACTCTTTCATTTATGAACGAGTTCACTGTTGGCTGTTTTTTTTTTACAAGATTCCTTTTATAGTTGCTAGAATTTAATGAGAACAAAGTTAGAAATCTGCAAAATATAACTTAAGAGGTGTTACTGCCTTTGGATTAGTACTGCCCTCTATCATTGTCATCAAATGTCACTCGAAAGTCTACAGTCTATTACTGATGAAAAGTGCTCCACTTTTCAATTCGATTTGAAACACAGAGATACAAATAAAATTGTGGAATGTTAAAAAGAAGAAAAATCATTTGAACATAAAGGGAGACTTTAGGACTGTATAAATGTTTTTATAGGAAAATTATGGCTGTCTATTTTTTTTTTTAATTATTAGATGTGTCTCACAGACATCTAGTTAGTTACATGTTCTTTTCTTTGTAGCTAATGCTGTTAAATGTACTGCTGACAAAATGATTTGACACGTTCACTCTTGCGTCAGGTGGAGATTAAATATATTTTGTGATTAGTCCACTATATAGATAGTAGAAGCCTTAGTGTTTTGCATGCGTATGAAGGAGACCCAAATTGCCTGCCACTGTCAAAGCCTCTTATTTCATGATGAAGACATTGCCTTTTTTGTCTTTTTAAGAAATAACTCTTGTTTTTAAGAAAAGCCTTTTTAGCAACTATTCCTGTTTTTTATTCTCTGGTGGGACGTTTTTACCTGAGAGAGCTCTCAAAGATTGGCTTGGAAAGGAGCCCTGTCTTTATTTTTCGAGAAAGACAGATGCATCCATTTTGTCTAAATACCAAGCCGCATTAATTTTTCAGCTTCACAGTGTAGTAGCTCGGTGCAATGTTTTTCGTTGGTATATGAGGTGCTATTTATGGCATTAAACATTTGATAACTCACCTTTGACTGATTAGCATTGCTACGACATCATTATTTCACTAGCAGCCTTGCATAGCAGTAAGGATGTTATCACATTGTCAGTGATCTGTGTTTATCAGCAGAACACTTCAGAGTGTAGTACTCTAAAGACGAAGGAATGCTCTGGTGCTTTGCATCCCCGATTGAAAATAAAAGGACATGTGAAACTTGGGGGTTGGAGGGGGGGGGGCAGGGAGGAGAGGGAGTTATCTTTATCTCTCTCAGAGTAAAAAAGATCATTTGCTTACCCCCACTCTTATAGGCCTACTTATACACTTATTTACTTCATCACAAACATGGTTTAGTTCATGGCAGTTGATCCATAGTCTCATTCCGCTGAAGTTTTTTTTTCCATCCCTATTAGAAGGCATGGAATAAACTACTTTTGAATGAATAAACTCCAAAGGGACAAATACAAATATTGGTACCAAAGAAAGTTTCAAAGCCATAGCTTTTCACTTTTGTTTGGGCATTTTTACAAACACATATTAAAAGCTATTTTCAATTTGGAATGAAACATTCAACTTTCTGCAAGTACCTCATTTTCATCAGTCATCATTTAAGCTCCTAAACATTCAAATGTTCACAAAACTTGGACACAGGTTTGGAGTTTAGAAAATTATGCAGGCATAGAAATTGTTCTTTGTGAGTCATCTCATTACTTTATGCTTTTATTTTATGATGCTTCACATTGATACCAAGAGAAGGAGGAAAAACATCCGACTTGATCTAACACTTGTAATAGCTTAGATATATCTGCTGTAAACGTACTAGCTTTTACTTTGTGCGCACCATTTGTATCGTGTGTTAGCGGCATGTAGACGTCTCAGTGAAGCGGCTTTTCTTCATGTTTGTGATGCTTGGAGTGAGGAGCCAATCAAATGGGACTCAGATTACTGAACAAAGGAGTATAGCAGGCACATTTTAGAACTGTTAAAGACCTGCTTTTTTGTTGTTGTTGAGAAAAAGTTTGTATCCTTTCTCCATGGGTACAGTCATACTGAGTAGGTGGTGGGCACTTGGAGTGCTTTGCTCCTTTCACTTCTCTAAAGTTTTTTACTGTCCTGATATTTTCAAAAAATATGGAAGTTGTAATGCTGACTTGCTATGAAAAACAACTCAATAAGAGAATCAGGAAAATTTGTTGGATAACAGTTTCTCTGGATGGTAGTCTTTTTTACTTTATCAGGAATTAAACTCTCAGTCCTTTGATAGACAGTCCAGCTTCCTGGCTGCTTACCGAGGCTAATACCTCGTGGATATGGAAGTGAAAGCCTCTGATTGTTGCAACAATGGTATGTTTGATGTAGTAGATGAGTTCTTATGTCAATCGACTCCAATAACCTTTCAACATCATTTTCTTTAATTTTTATCTAGGTTCCCCTTTTCACTTTATAAAGCTTTAAAGTATACGTTCCTTCATCACAACAGTATCTTTGTCAGAAGGTCCAGGTCTTCCTTATCCCTTCTCTTTGTCTTAAATGCACCAGCGTTAACAGCTACACATTCATCTTTATTACAGCTTCAAGTATTATGTGATTTTTTTTTTCAAGTTAAGGAGCAAGAAGTGCATCAATGTGACATGTTCTTAGACAGTTTTAGCGCCAACTTCCTAGCTTCTCCATTTGTGCCTTGGTCTCTTCACTTTTAAGTCCACTTTTCATGTTAAATCGGCAAAAGCGGGAAAAAAGTGAGAGTGGTACAAGGTTTGAATTCTGATTAAATTTCGCATCATGTCATAGATAGCACATTAGTTAGATAGCTTCAGTGTAAATTTTTCATCAACCTCAAGTCGATGCTGCCTGGCTTGTTGGAGCAATGGGCAGAACATTATTGATAAAGGTGATCTGTGTTGGACTTGTGATAGGGGTCTCCTCCCCTTAGAATGGCACTTGTTGTGCAGCTACCACTGTGACTTTACAGCATTGAAATCAAGCCCTTGTTTTGATGTGCATTTCTCCACCTACGCCCCTTACAAACTGTGGTAATTTTTTATTTTTGTTTTTTCACAGCTCCCACTTTCTGCTTATTTTGTTCTTTGTCCTCTCACCATGAAGTATCACATTGATGTTTTCTTGGTCGTTCATTTATCTTGTCATGAACTCACTTACCTGTACACAGCTATGTTCTGTAAGTTGTTCTGTTTTGTTTCTAGAATGGTCATTTTAAGTCTTCGATCTAAAAGACTTCAAAGGCTGTTGTATAGATGTTTCTTTAACTTGGATTGTAACACAGTCCAGACAGGGAATAAAAAATAATTCAAAATGAATATATATATATGTTGTTTGGCTGTTTTTTTGCTTTGCATTTGGGGGGGGGGGGGGTTGGGTTGTTTTTTTTAATATATCAGTATATGGCACAATAACTCACTGGGTTAGTTCTACCCTCAACAATGCTACATTTTCTTTGGGTTGGGACGTAAGTCTGTCACTGTCTCACAATGATCGGTGCATCCACAGAGGGGAAAATTGAAGAAATAAGGATTAAGATGACTTGTGACTTCGTCTGTGGTCAATGAAACAAATTCTGGCATGGAAAAGTTTGCCACATTTTGAGCTTCTGTTTCACTTGTTTTAAGGTTTGTTTAGAAACATGAGAGAAAAGCGGTGCAGTCATCAGACTTACTCTTTCTTTGGCACTTATATATATAAGTAACCTAATTTTGTCGCAAGTGCCGTAAAACTCTCACTGAACAAACAAAAGAACACAAAAAAGACTCTTATCTAGGCATAATGAATTTATCTAAAGGCAAGATGTTTAGGCGATAATTCTTTGATGGCACATGAAAGCTGAATGTGTTATTTGTTATTTTTTGCTGTTGCCCCTATGAGTGGTGAATGGATGATTTGGTGGAAAAGTATTTCCCTTTCGATTTTGACTTCTTTCAGGTTTAAGCAATGAGGCAAGTTAGAAATGTTTCTTTTACACTAGCTATGGTAGTACTGTACATGAGAGCTTTCTGTTAATATTAACTCTCATAACGTACGAATGTGGAGATAATTTAAAATAATGATAAAGAGCAAATAGCCGAGCGAGTGGTTGGAGGCGCCACTGATACTGATACTGTCCTACTTCTTAAATTTCCTCTGTTTCTGTCTTGCTTTTTCCCCAGCATTAAATGACCATCATTGTGTCAATGTGTTTTTCTTTAGGCCTACTCAAAAAAAGAAAGCCGATGTGGGATGATAAAACAAATGAGATGGAGGGGATGAAGGACTGGACATTGTAAGGGAGTGTTAGTATAATGTGTTACTTACACTGTTAGGCTACACGCTCACTAAAGGAAAATGTCCACTAGTTGCACTGATGTGACATATGACGTCACTTGGCAGAGAAGAGACAGCTAGATACAATAAGTCAATAAGGCGAAAATTGTGGCACTTGCATACTCGCTGCCGTAAAATGAATGGAAACTGTCCTAGTGTGCACGGGGCCTAGTGAACAGTTATAATCTGTAAATTTTGGAATTCATTCCTTCCTGAAGAATCTATGTCTTGTGAAGACAGCATATGATCCTAAACGTATATATTTGGCGTGATTGCCCTCTCCTGTATAAAATCTTTGGTGCACTCGACACCCCTGACACCAGAATTCTAAAACTCCTAATCAAACTACTCGTGTTGCGTCTATCTGGCAAAAATCATTGTTCTACCCTGCCATGTCAATTTTGCTGGCAATTAGGCCGTTGACCTTTATATGCCAAAGAAGCTTTAAAACTCATACTCAATAAATTCCATCCACTGACTGAAACACAAATAAATTACAGAACATGGTACATCCATCTAGAGGAAAATTTGTGAACAACATACTCGGAACTAACTTCACTACATCTAATCAAAGCTCTCAGGAAACAAGAACGGGTGTCTGTGGTGTAGCTGTTCATGGGGGCTTCGCCGTCGCACGCAGGCCTTTCCGAAGTGAAGAGATTTTTTTTGTCTATGTCCGTCTTTCTGTCGGGACGTTGTATCCCTCTCAGCGCGGTTAATGGCCCTGGCAGGCTGTGTGGGAAGCCTGCCTCTTAAATTATCTAAACTGTGTCGATGGAGGCGTAAAACACCTACATAAAAAAGACGATCCGTGCTGGAGTTTATGATGGCGAAAAGCTGTCGGCATCTCTCTAAAGTCCAAAGCACCTGATCCCCCCCCCCCCTTTATCTTCCTCTCAGAAACCATTCAGTTTGGCATAGAAATAAAGGTAAGCACCAAAAAACAGCAAGGTCTTTGTTTTAGGGTCTGCTATGAACTTAACAGACATAGAAAAGGTGCGGGTGGTTGAAGGATACCACTGGTAGGTCCTGCTTCTTTACTTTCCCTCTGTTTTTACGGTCTGTCTCTCCGTCTAACCTTTTCCCAGCACTAAAAGACCAATATTGTGACGATGTGCTTCTCTTTTCCCAAACAAACGAACAAGACAGAAGAAATCAAGATTTGATGGGAATCGAGAGTTAAAACAGAGTTATAGAGAAGCCTGTGATGTTAGTTCTCTTAGTACATAGAACGCTAATACACCTTTGCAAGCAGCCTATCTTGTAGTTCGATATATCTCAACATCATAGATTTCCCTATAACTCTGCTCCTATGGAATTTAACCTTATTAGCGACAACAAAAAAACAACACCAAATTTGTGAGATAGACAGAAATAATCCTTGCGATAATACCTTTTTTCTATAATAATCAAAATGGATTTGCTAGGATTTCGTGTTGTATGGTGTAAACAACAGAGCGATTCTGTGCACCAGCTGAAATGGCTCGCTGTATACCAAAATATGACAGGACAGCCTACGTGGTCTTCTCGTGATGAGTCTCTACATGGACACTGGTGGCTCCCGGACTCGCAAGCATAAGGTGTTGATTCGAATCCCACCAGTGGCCCAACGTTGTGTCCCTTGGAAAGGAACTTTACACGACTTTTCCTCACCTCACCCAGGTGGAAATGGGTAAGCTATTCGACAATAGACAGTGAAAGATTGTGTCAGTTTATTCTTGTTTGAGCCCGTGAAATCCGCAGCTTGCACTGTACGCTTTACGGGAAGCCGAGAATGTTTCGAAGAGTTCTACAGTCTGCTGGGATAATTATGGTTGTAAAGCGTATATTGCATGATATTATGTAGAACATGGATACGAGCTATAGAATTGCAATTGTTATTATACCAGCTGGGTACTAGTGGGTACCCCGTTCGATGAACGGGCTCAAAAGAATCGATCGTCAAGTCATTGTGGGATCAGTGCGCACTCATATTGTGAACAGAAGCATCACTTGTTTACAATGGCGTGGACCCTTTAAACGATTCTGAACCACGGTTATTTTTATTTTTTTTTCAAATTCGAAAGTTAAGTTGTTCGGAAGTTTTAGGCGACCAAAGTGACTAACTTTCACAAATATAGTATTATATGACTCTAGTTTGCAGGAAACGGGCCAGCCTGTGGGCACGTGATTGTAAGGGCAAAGTGTTTACATAATGGAATAATCATTGCTTCCCTTCCTTTATTTGGGAACATCGTCGTAGTCAAATTAACCACCAGCCGGAGATAGAAAATGGCCTTATAAACGTAAATACATGCGTAATAGACGTCAGGGAATCAACAATGAGCAATGTACACAACTCCCGTAACTGTTTAATTTCGTCATAAAATTTAGTACTCTGTTCACCCCTTTTAGGCCACTCTCATAAGCAGTCACAAGCACTGATTATGTAAACAGACGATTAAACTGAAAAAGTCTACTTGAGGGGGGGGGGGGGGGTAATTCCTAATAATCTCATGACTGCTGTAAGTGCTTGTTGTTTTATTTTCCCCGACTTTTGCACCCCCATTTAATCAGGTCATATAACGACTCCTGGCCGTGAAAGGCTAGATGAAGAAAGCTAAATTTGAAAATAAATTGATTATACATGACATTTAATTTTGTAGTACATGTACGCCCAAAGATTCTCCGTTTTTGGTACGCCCACTTGTCATCTCTGACTTCTGTTTATGTACTCACTTCTTAAGTTTTATTTACTCTTTAAAAGCTGCTGTACGAATTAATGGAGAATACAGTGAATATAAGCAACTTAGGAGAGGAGTGAGGCAAGGATGTGTCATGTCACCAGACCTCTTTAACATGTACAGTGAAACAATCCTTTAAAAATAGAAGAATGTCCAATTCTCAAAGTAAAAGGAGAAAATATCAATAACATCAGGTATGCAGATGACACAGTTTTAATAGCAGGCTAATAAAAGGACCTTCTATAGCTTCTAGATACTGTTGTAACTGAAAATGAACGTAATGGATTATTGTTGAATGTAAAGAAAACGGAAGGCATGGTAATATCCAAAAAAGCAGCAAATCCTAGTTGTAATCTCATTAGCAAAGGTAAAAAGATCAAACAAGCCCAACAATTTAAATATCTGGGATATACGATAATATCTGAAGCCAAATGTTCCACAGAAATAAAACGGAGAATTACAATGGCTAAGGTTAGTTTCAATAAAATGAGCCCAGTCCTGAAAAATAAAAACATCTCAATGACCACCAAAATAAAAGTTCTGAAAGGCTATATATGGTCAACCCTTCTATATGGCTCTGAATGCTGGACAATCACTAAAGACTGAAAATAAAATAGAGGCAATAGAAATGTGGTTTCTTAGGAGACTGCTAAGAGTATCGTGGAAGGAAAAGAAATCAAATGAGGTAGTGTTTGATGAAGCCCACGTGGGACGCTCAATGTTAAAAACAATCAGGAAACGACGAATGCAGTTTTTGGGACACCCGAATAGACGTATGGGTCTTGAACATCTAGCTCTCACTGGCAAAATTGAAGGCAAACGAGGCAGGGGTGGGTAGCCCAGAACAATCTACTTGGGGAACCTAAACAAATGGGTAACAGGGAAAGATCAAGGAAACGTAGCTTTTCTGAGACCATCCGAGCAAAGGAATGAATGGAGAACCATGATCACCGATGTCTGTAGCAGATCTAGTACTGGATGATGACTTTTTAAAACCGTGAGATCATTATATATGTTTTGGCCAAAGTGGGATTAAAAATTGATTGTTGAGATATTTTCTCGATTATTTTGGCGGGTCAACATGCAACATGAGTTCAGGATGTCTTTTCATTCGTAATTGAGTGATGCCTCCTCGAATAAAAAGTTTTGTTAATTATATTATTAAAGTGTTTCGTGTGTAGCCTTGTCTGTACATGATTCTTTGTTCCGCTTTGATTACCCTGTCAAACAAGTCAGCCTTCGCCCCTGGAGGACAACCTACTTTGTCTTCTCGTCCTGCATCTC